CTACTTTTGCCTCACTCTGTATAGTAGGAGACCCACTTGTCTTGCTGCCGTAAGCTTCTGGTAGTTACTTGGTTAATCAAGGGAGTTATTTAAAATGGGGAGTCACAAAAAATGATTTATAAATGTATGTGGCATTTTATTTTAATGTAAAAGATATAAACTTAATAAACAACATTTTGAATGAAGTTGCAATATATATATATATTGGTTGCAATATATATATATATATATTGGTTTGAGAGAGAGAGAGAGAGAGAGAGAGAGAGAGAGAGAGAGAAATATCCCTGCACACCCCCAGCAGGGATCGAACCTGGATTTCCCGGTTCCCTGGTTGATGCACAACCACCGAACCACACCATTGGCAAAAATTTTTTTGAGAATAGTTGAAATTTCCCCTTTCTTGAATAAACCCCATTCATACTACATTGCTTTTAATTTCCAGTTTTAATCTTTTAAGAAAGGAACTGATAGACTTGTGGATGCAGAAGTCTAGATTATCTTGTTATCTTGTCTTTACCTAATGCAACAGCGATTTTTAAAAAGCACCTTTTTAAAAAAGTCTTTTCAATTTTGTTTTCAGAGATACAATTTATTTTCACTTTTATGAACTGTTATAGCTGGCATCTAATGGGTAGATGTTGCTAACCACCCTCCAGTGCACAGGAGAGTCCCCTACAACAAAGAATAATCTAACCCAGAATATCGGTTGTGCCCAGGTTGAGAAGCCCTGAATTCTGCGGTAACAGCTTGCATAGTTTAATCACTTTTGGCTCTCTGTGTTAGTTAACTCATAAGATCCTCAGAACTGCACTCTGTTTAATGGCAGGATGGTAGAAAAGTCAGAAATATTATTCTAGGGGGTCAATGGGTCCCATTTTGAACTGCAACCTGAATCCAGTTAGTGCTGCCGAAAGTTAGGGATTTTGACACCTCCGGTTCCTAGGTGAGGAGGGTTCCTCCCCTAGTGTGTATTGTTTCCCAGCTTTGAAATGTTAATGAAAACTGAGACAAGTCTTACATGTAGAGAGTTGTGTGATGGGCAGATTTGCAACCAAAGCAAAATATTTCTGTTTAGAGCCACTCTTCTGAGTGCTTCTTTGTGTGAAATATTTCTATTTGGAGAGCTGAGCTTTGAGGGCTTCAATAATGGTTCATCTATTTTGCTGAATTTCCATCTTGGGCTCAGGAAGGCAGGTGTGTAATCATCATCACCACTGACAGGTGTAGAGTCCCCTCTTGATGGCTGGTACTGTACGGAATACTTGAAATAACATTCAGAAGGCGATCCCGAAATAGAATTCCTCCTGTCCTGAGTTTGAGCTAAGGCTGTGATTCTCATATTTGTGAGGAATCAGAGCACCAGGAAGTCATGATGGTCTTGATAAATCAATTTTATTACATGACATAGCATCAACTTACGACTTTTGCACAGAAGTTATCTTAATTAAATTTGTATGCAAACATTATATCAGGATTGTGTTTAATTACATGTGCCAATAACCTGTGGCTTGAATAAGGGCTTTATTTATGTGTGTGTTTATTTCTTACTAGAGGCCCGGTGCATGAAATTTGTGCACTCAGGGCGGGGGGGGGGGGGGTCCCTCAACCTGGCCTGCACCCTCTCGCAGTCCAGGAGCTCCCCCATGGGGAGCGGGCCTAAGTGGGCAGTCGGACATCCTTAGCGTTGGCATGGAGGTGCGAGACGCTCCCGCCATCGCCTCTGTGCTCACCAGCCATGAGCCTGGCTTGTGACAGAGCGGTACTCCCCCTGTGGGAGCGCACTGACCACCAGGAGCCAGCTCCTGAGTTGAGCATCTGCCCCTTGGTGGTCAGTGTGCGTCATAGTGGCCAGTCATTCCGTGTTCAGTCGATTTGCATATTAGCCTTTTATTATATAGGACTAGTAGCCCTGCGCACAAATCTGTGCCCCAATAGCTCTCTGCCACCCTCCAGTAGCTCTCTGCCCACTGCCGACCCTTCTGTAGGTCCCTCTGCTCCCCCTCCCTGCCCCCTCTCCCTCTACCCCCTCATAGCTTGCTGCTCTGCCCCCTCCTGTCCCTCTCCGCCATCTGCTTGTAGCTCGCTGCCCCACCCTCCTGCAGATCCGTGATCTGGTCGTTACACAGTTGGTCTTTATGCTTCACGGTGTAACGACCATTTGCATATTACATCTTGATTATATAGGATAACAGTGAGTCTGGAGGGAGGAAATCAGGCTAGTCGTGGTGATTTCCTAATTCTCCTTCTGCGTTCTTGCTCCTGTCTTTCCAGTCTATCTATAGTTTGTAGCTTTCATCTGCTTGCATGTAAGATAGCTGCCATAACCTTGGGCACAGGTTTGCTCTCCAGGCAGGAAGAGGAATGGAAGAATGAGGGAGGAAGGGGCAGTGCTTACTGATGAACTGTGGCATGGAGTGAGGGAATTTGGGAAATACAGATTATTTCACTGAGTACCTTTTTTTCCAGGACAAAATCGAGGTTCCCTTATTAAGTAAGAATGGGAGAATAGATTCAAAGTAAGCAATTAGCAGTGACTGCCACAATAACAAAACAATTTAAAAGGTACATTCATGACCTTGTGACATTCAGGATGATGTGTTCTCATAAAACACGGCTGGAACTTTCTACTAATATTGTTTACTTACTTGTCGAACCTTAGTTTTGTTGACAGCTAGCAATCTCAAATATTGACAATTTAGAAATCTAAGCGAAGAAAACTCTAAAATGAGAAAATTCTTTCCATTGAGGAAATGAAATTCTTACTTTTTTAAAAGATGAAGGTATACTCTAGAGTAGACTATGACACTAGTTTTCCTAGACTATTAGTTTTCCTAATATCAGTAGTTTGGGAACCACTGATATTAATATTTGTGTGTACTATTAAATGATGTACGTCTCTTTCACTAAGGTTGTTTTCCTAGATAAGAACATGCTTTTCTCTCTTTTGATATGACTCATATATTGAGGGCAATCCAAACATTCTTTATTTTTAAACATCTTTTCTAAATTCTGTATAATGATCCTATATTAATTTAAAATATATAATTATTGATTTCAGAGAAGAAGGGAAAGGGTGAGAGAGATAGAAACATCATTGAAGAGAGAGAATCATTGATCGGCTATCTCCTTCACGCCCGACACTGGGGATCCAGCCCGCAACCCGGGCATGTGTCCTGACCTGGAATTGAACCGTGATCTGGTTCATAGGTCAACGCTCAATCACTGAGCCACGCTGGCCTGGCCTATATCAGTTTTATAATCAGAATAAAGGTCTTACTAATTTTTCAAAATCAATGCAAGTCTTACCATCTCTGACATTGTACCCTGTGCTTCAAATCTATTTTTTAAAATTTCCTACTTCTTGAAATTTCAAGAGCTGTCATAGTCTGTACTACACAGCTCTCCTGTTAATTATAGGCTACACTGAATTCATCACTAATTGCTCCATATGTTAGCAAGGCCATAAGCTCCCTCTTATGTATTTTTCTGAATCCCAAATTCTTAGCATAGGATTAGTTACATAGTAGATAATTAATTGCTTCTGATTAAATAAATAATCATATTTAATACATTAGCCCAGGAAAAGAACATGGATTTGTTAGCAGGCTAGGCATAAAGTAAAACGACTAATAATCAGGTAATCAGAATTTCATTACTTTTACCTTTTCCTATTAAGGTAGGACTTCTAGCTCCTCTAGGGATGAGGGATCGCTGGAGAATTGCTCCCCGGAGATCTGCTTGCCAAGACCTCACCTTGATCTAGAGCTGCAGGAGACCCCGTGCTCGTCCCAGAGTTTCAGCTATGAGTGTCAGTCAGAAGCTAACTTAGGTCTCTCTGCTCCCACTGCACTGGGATGTGCTTTTTAAACAATCATTTGTTTATTGTTTGCATAAAAGCATTTGTTGTAGCTCTCATTCCCCACATGCAAAATGTGAAAACTGCTTTGTAGTGGTTTTTACCCAATTCCGCATGATTGGCAGCTTTACATAGCACTACCTTGAAGCAATTTATTAGGTTTCCTAGAAACCTTAATTTGATGCTTTTAGAGCAAGACTGACAGTCTTGGAGTAGGAGCAAAATGACCACAGAATGCTAGTATTGGCTGTGTTTCCTGTAGTAGAAAAAAATTAAATAAGTGATTAAAAATTTTTAAGTCTGATAGATTTTGAATCTCTTTAATTTTGTGCACATAAATGCTCCATATATATCTATTGTATGAAATTCAAGTTCACTTTATAATATTTGTAATTAAAATGGTTTATTTGTCTAGACGAGTAAATAATGATCACCCTAAATTTATTCCAGGCACCACAATAATTATTATTCCTTTTAGTTACTTTTATTCCTTTTTCTCTTTCATCTTTTTTTGGCTTCTTAAATGATGATTGAAAATGCTTAAAGTCTTGTCATGTAATATTTTATCATCTAATAAAAGGATACCCCTAAACTAAACAATGTTGTATTTTTCATGGTTTAGAGCTTTGTATAAATGGCGTTATTCTGGATGTGACTTGTCTTTTTTTTTCTTTTTCTTTTTTTATTTTTTATTGAGGCTTAATTGATATATTAGTTTCAGGTTACAACATAATGAATCCATACTTGTATACATTGTGTAGTTATTTGCTATCCTTAAAAGTAGAAATCATTAGAAAAATAATTTAAAATATTAAAACAATGTTAAGAAGATTACTCTGAGGCCTTGGGAGTCCAAAATAGAAAAATTGTTGATTTACCTTTGGAATTATGTGAAATCCTGAAATTTAAATCTTGAGTTTTATTTTGGTTTGGATTACTTGCATTTCATTATGCAAGAGTCTCATTGGGGAATCCTGAACATTTTGTGTCCTATAGAACTTGCTTTTTGTATGTCTTATTATTATTATTCTTGTGAATGAAATGCTCTACAAATTTTAAGGATTTTTTTCATTTATTTATATATGTATATTTTGATACAAAAAGACAAACACTTATATATGAAACAATTTTTCCTCTTTTACAGAATTAAATGTGAGGGAGTCTGATGTAAGAGTTTGTGATGAATCATCATGTAAATACGGAGGCGTCTGTAAAGAAGATGGAGATGGCTTGAAATGTGCATGTCAATTTCAGGTGAGAAAACCCAACCCTGTTTTGAAATCTTTTTACATTTCTCATGTTTTATAATTCTTCATTCTTCAAATTACAAAGCTTAAAACACCTTGGATCCCACAAGAAGAAGTTGGGCTCATGGCCCACTAATTCTTTCTTATCAGATGAAGTGCTACTACCTCCTATGCTTCTTTCCTTGAACTCCTAGTAAATGGAGAGACTGACAATAGCAGGTGTGAAGATGCTTTGAAAAAATATTAAAGTTCTATTCAAATGTATAATTGTCACCAACAGGAAACAAAGTACAGGCGGTAGTTGAGTCTCTTATTTAAAATGTGGACATTTCCCCCCTTTCCTTCTCTTTCTAGTCCATTTCTTTCCCTCCTTATTTGCTGCGTTCTCATCTTTTTAGGCCAAAGAACATCACTGACTTGATGCCTGAGGGTAGGTCCCGGTTAGAGGTGGACTCGAATGGGTAACCTCAGACTAAGATCTTTGCTTTTCAGGTGCTGTTTTAGTTGTAATTCTATTGTTTAAAAAGAAGTAAAAAGAAAGGAAGCAAGTCCGGCCATATTTGCTCAGTGTTTGCACATCGATCTATGAACCAGAAGGTCACGGTTCGATTCTCAGTCAGGACACATGCCTGGGTTGCTGGCTTGAACTTGGTGTGGGGTGTGCAGAGAGGCAGCCAATCGATGACGTTTCTCTCTCATCAATGTTTCTATCCCGCTCCCTCTTTCTCTTTAAAAATCAATAAAAACATATATTTTTTAAAAAT